CTTTGCTCTCGACCCTCCACTCTGCACCCAGCATGGCCCGTTTGGCTCAGTGTCCGCTTTGTTCTCGGCCCACCGCTCTGCACCCGGCACGAATACACCTGGAACCAGGAAGACACCTTACATTCCAGAAACCCGGACACACCTGTCCATATAAGCATCACCTCTGTAGCCTGCAGGGCGACACCCCCAGCCTGGACGTTGTGGACTGTGGGACTTCGCCCAGGCTGGGTTTTTCTCCCCCAATAAAGCCTGTTTGCTCTGATTCGACTAATTTGGTTTCTGGTGCCTCTCGACTACCTTACATTGGTGCCAGACGCCGGGATATAGGCCCCCTCCCCCCAAGGGACTCTTCTACAACTGAACTTCGGGGGTTTTGGACTCGGGTAAGTCCTGCCCTGCCACCTCTCTCAGAGCCTACCTGTCCATGTTGTGGCCGCGCCAGGGACGGCTTTCCGTTTCCGTTCGGGACCCTGTGACCTGAGAGATGTCTCACTAGCAGGGGACCACCTCCGTTTAGTTTCCTCTAACTCAGGGGACGTCTTGTCTTAGGGGATAACTCTCCGGGGTGTCAGGGCATCATGGGCAATACTGAGTCCGAAACTAGTCCTAAGACCCCCTTGAGCTGTCTCTTCCTAAATTTCTCCAAATTAAATTTTTCCCAAAGCCTCCATAAAAAGAGGCTAGTCTTTCTGTGTACCACCGAGTGGCCTCAATACCCATTAGACAATCAGTCTAGGTGGCCCTCCGAAAGCACTTTTAATTTTGGCATCCTCACTGACGTAAATAATGTTTGCCACCGCTCAGGAAAATGGTCAGAGGTTCCATACGTTCAGGTTTTCTGGAATCTCCGAGCCCGCCCGTCTCTATGCGTCCAGTGTTCCACCTCATGGGTCCTTTTAGCTAAATCAACTGAAAGGAGCATGGTGGCGAAATCAAAACTTGAAAATAATCCCGACTCTCCCTACTATATCCTAGCACCGTCCTCTGCACTTACTGAAGAGCCAGACCCTCTTGGGCTCTCGCCTCGATTGCTAATCCTCCTCCTCCCTCCCAGCCTCTGCCGCCCGCCCTATGTACTGCCACTCTCCCTCCCTTCACCATCGTCTTCCCCTGGCTGCTGGACAGCCCAACCCCCGCTCCTCCCTGTGTCAGCGCATCCTCCTTCCCACCTCCTGCCTCTCAGGGAAGCAGCAGGGCTGAGGATGTGCCACGGGTCCACGTTCCGTTTTCTCTCCAAGACCTGTCCCAAATCGAAAAGCACCTTGCAAAGGGTC